TTCGTTGTGGCCATGCGTATATGTGTCAGAAAATTGCATGATTATGAGTTAATTTTGTTTAGTAGAAGGAAGTAATATAGCCTTTTTCCAGTGTTAATATAATGCAATTTTGAATATATTTTTTTAAATCAGTCAGGATATTAATTGTATCTATCTATCTATCTATCTATCTATCTATCTATCTATATATATATATATATATATATATATATATATATATATATATATATATATATATATATATATATATATATATATATATATTTAAATATATAATAAAATATGTATATGAAGAAAATAATTTTTTTAACATTAATACTCTTGCAAGCCAGAATGTAAAGAACGTTAGTATCTGAGTTTTTTGGCTTTTTAAAAGTTTTCAAATTAATTGCTAATGTTGAACAAGAAAGTGAATGTTAGTGTTTACGGCCGAAGACTGAATGTTAATGTTGGCACTATTCATGTTAATTATATATATGTCTCTTGATCCATTTATGGTAAATAATATTTACCAATTCGCTGACAGTCACACCACACCAACTCTCCTTCACTCCGAATTGAATTCCAAAACCACTTAAATGTATCAATGTAACCTTTTAAGAAGATACCTAGCCGCTGGTGTCTCACTTGGTATTTATACTATTGCCTAAAGCTCTTCCTTGAGATGCTAACACTCAGTTAACACTATATACGTGACAACTAATGTATATAGGTTTGTGTAAATGTATATACATATGTATGTATTTCAATGTATATTTCCTTAGGTACTGTTTTAAATATATATATATATATATATATATATATATATATATATATATATATATATATATATATATATATATATATATATATATATATATATATCATTTACAGTCTTAATAAATAAGATGTTTGTGCACATTCCATAAATTTTCGTGCACTGAGACCCCTTTCCCCACCCACACACACATTCCTCTTCTCTGAATTTCTCGCTCCTAAAAACCCCTTCTCTACCACCAGCCTATACTCACATGAATCTCCCCGTGCTAGGTCACCCTCCAGACGGGGGTCATCCTTGAGCGAGCAGGCCGAGAATGAGGTGTACCAGCTCTCCCGTTCGTACCCCCACTCGCTGCCTCAGTCCAGACGTTCCTCTGTAGCGTACCAATCGTCCTCCAGTCCTGAGTTCAAGGGTGAGTGTCAATCTTTAGTGTTGTCTTCAAGGGTGAGTATTTGGAGCTCATGTTACCTTCAAGGTTGAGGGTCAGATGTTTATGATATCTTCGAGGGTGAGTATCACGAGAATATTTTTTCTTCAGGAGTGAGTATCTTGAGTTTATTTTTCATAACTTCGAGGCTCTCGCTCTATTCTTCAGTGACGTCTGGCATCAGTGTTACAGACTGTTGTCACCATCGATTAGTACCTAGTGATATTTAAGGAGGATTCGACCGCAAAGAATGCACCTCACGTCATGTTCATCCTCCTGTGTTCAAGTAGTTTAAATCTCTAGCGTCTCAGATTATCTTCATGGGTTCTAAAGATCTCACTCGTATTTTATCGATGGCATCTATAAGCAGAAGCGCTTGACATCCTCAAGAGGAACTTTCCTTTCTTTACGTTTCTCACACATTGCAAAAACAATCACATCTGTGCTTGCTAGCTGGAAACAAAGAGACTTACTGAATGCGGTACTTGCTAGCTAGAAAAAATACAATCACAGACTTCGGTAATTGGAAAAAGAGACTCACGAACGCCAGTGTGCATTTTGGTAGGAATAATTAAAATCAAGCCAACGCTGAAATTTACCTGTTTTCATACTTGTAATTTTTATAATTACACGCAGAATTAAAATAAACTCGCTTTTTCGAGCAACCCGTCAATGAGTTGCTCGATAATTATGAGATGACGTTCTCTTGTTAGTTGCTAAGGTTAACGGTTCTCATAACATCCCACGATTGGCGTGTTGCCATTGGTTCACAGCGAAATGCATTTGCCTGTCTTACTCATTGATGTAAATCGTTCTAACATAACACGAGGGGGTCCGATTAGGACCAGTCGGCAAATATCGCATTGGAAATATGGCTCGAGACTAGAAGTTCGGACTACGGCAAGGTGGGACTTGGGGCAGTTAGGTGGGATAAGGAACTCGGCCTGCTGAAACTGGGATATCATCCAGGTGAGTTTGAAGGATGACTTAGATGGATTTTAAGCTCTGTATCACGTTATGGAACCTGACAGTAACCTACTAGTCTTTCCAGACTGTAGGAGACAATAACAGTGACGCCAAGAAGGTTTATGACTAACATAGTAAGTCTATAGCATACACATGTTGCTCTGGAAGCAATTGGTTCGATGGCCTCTCCTCCAATCTTCTCCAGGTATCATCTGGCCTACAATAATGTTTAAGATAAGTGTATGTTGCTTCTTGTGGCCTAAAAGCCTATATATGTCGTGCTATTGATATAACCACTTCAAAAATCTCGTGAACTTTAAATAAAATGCTTGATTGTTTCATGTGTGACCTGATTGGCATAGATATCAAAAGGCAATTCAAATTTTTGTGCCACTACTAATTTTTATACTAGTATTTCTGTGTGAATCACTAAATCATTAACTGTTGATCTGTGATTGAATGTCTTGTTGAATGTATGGTATAAAGTACTTATGTAAAATACAGCTCTGACGAACAGTGTCGGCGAACAATGTCTCTGCCCTGAACCGAGCCTGCGCCTTGACACTGATTGGTCGGCACATATTAAACCTAAGTCTACCTGTTCCGATTCTGTACAAATTGTTTGTGTTGGAGCTTAGTGTGTGGCGATATTTTAGGTGTCTGTTGTGTAAACAGAGCAAGTCTATGATATCATGTTATCTTTCTTCTGTCTGCTTCTCGTATTCGAGTCTTCAAGTGCTTTCCCTGAAATGTCTGTCTGTCTGTCTGTCTGTCTATCTGTCTGTCTGTCTGTCTGTCTGTCTGTCTGTCTGTCTGTCTGTCTGTCTGTCTGTCTGTCTGTCTGTCTGTCTGTCTGCTTCTCGTACTCGAGTCCTCAAGTGTTTTCCCTGGGATCTCTCTCTCTCTCTCTCTCTCTCTCTCTCTCTCTCTCTCTCTCTCTCTCTCTCTCTCTCTCTCTCTCTCTCTCTCTCTCTCTCTCTCTCTCTCTCTCTCTCTCTCTCTCTCTCTCTCTCTTATCCCTCTCTCTCTCTCTCATCCCTCTCTCTCTCTCTCTCATCCCTCTCTCTCTCTCTCATCCCTCTCTCTCTCTCTCATCCCTCTCTCTCTCTCACATTTTCTCATTGCTTCCTTCTCAAGCATACCGTCTATATGCTCTTATGTTTAATGTTTAAACAGTGCTTAAAGGCATAAATAATACAACAACAGACTTTATGAAGCAAATTTTCCATTTCCTTAAGACTACAAACATTGAAATTTAATCCCCACTCCATGCAAATTGCCACAACACATCAATATTATCACCCCCCCCCCCCCCCAATATGCAATATCCACGAACCAAATATACTTTCTCATCCCTCGTTCCAACATTTACACAGAAATTACATCACATTCTCCCCAGTTACAAACCCTTTAAATAGATCTCTACAATATTTATATCTACAACAGAGATATCATCCTTTTGATATAGGATAGTAGGATATCATCCTACACTCCTTTTGCATCACATTTCTTCACACCACACGCTTGGCCGCATGCCACACTATTCATTTTCACAATATCAGCCCATCCTCTTGAAATGATAGTACGAATAGTAACTATTTGTTCGAAAGTACGAATATTTAGTGACGTATCGCCAGTAAACCACTTAATGTACTATTATTTTTTTCATATAACTAAATATGGCTAAAAACTAACATATATTCCAAGGGCTAAAAGACCACATATATGCACTATTAGGCCGGAGGATTGCTAGAATAGGTTAGGTTAGGTCAGATCTTATGTTCATTTTGCTGATCAAATAGTTTCTGGTTTGTCCAAATTCAATAATACAAAAGTCAATTTTCCGGTGGTTCATCACTACACGCTGGTACTTTGCGCCAAATAGTTATTATAAGTACATTCATTTTCGATGGACGGGCTGCACAATACACATTCATATATCGACCTCCTCCCACCATACTTCACACTACACACGTGTCTAAACCCTTCTCATCCTACGTCCCGACTATACTTCTAATGGCCTCGTGCGCATGTGCTAATGTGTGCCGCTACTGTGTACGTCAGCTGAGGACTTGGAGGCGAGGCTGTCTGTGTCGATGAGTCCTCTCGAACGCCGCCGAAGCACGAGTTTTAGGTCCTCGACGAGAACTGAGTTCCTGGGATGCGGCGAGGAGTACCCGAGGCAGCGACGAGCCTCCCACAATGTACTCATCCGGTCACACTCCCTCAAGACCAACAACCAGGTCGATCAGCGGGTCAAGCCAGGTCAGACGCCTGCCCTAGGCAGCTCTCTTTTTGCCAGTTCCCTTACGGTATGATACTTAATAAATTGTCAAACTCCCATGTTGGGAGAGCTGTATTGCCAGTTCTCTACTGTACAATTGTATGTTCGTACAACTTTAGAAAACCTGACATCCATGTTGGGTAATGAGTTCCTTACGGTATGGCCTTATATTGTCACGTTACTTTGTATATATATATTTCACCCATTTTGATGTGTCTCCTATAAACGTTTGTTGTGATACAAGCTTTTTTATTTACTCAGATTTCTTATATGGTTACTATTCATTAAGTTCATCATTTCTCATACATCAACTAATGATGAATAACATTGTTTATCATATATTGTGGTATAGTTTTATGTTTCCCTCGTTTCGATTGTTATTGTTTTTATTTCCTCTAGCTAACACGATGTGACATAGTTATGTAACTGTGTTTTTATTTCCCCAGAACTTGATGCATGAATTGCCTTTGCCTCATGAGTTTTTTTATTAAAATGGTTTCATAGGAAGTCAAATGCTATACTCCTGCAGCAGTCAAAACATCGCCGGAAGAACACCGTCAGAAGGAACATCATCAGAACTTGCTCTGATTCGTCCTGGGATCCATCTGTTATTTTTTTTTTCCTTCACGTGAATTTGTATAAACCAACCTCTAAAAATGGTGATCCATCTCTCTCTCTCTCTCTCTCTCTCTCTCTCTCTCTCTCTCTCTCTCTCTCTCTCTCTCTCTCTCTCTCTCTCTCTCTCTCTCTCTCTCTCTCTCTCTCTCTCTCTCTCTCTCTCTCTCTCTCTCTCTCTCTCTCTCTCTCTCATTTCTTCACCCCTCACCCGTCGTTCCTTAGCCCTCATTCCTCACTCCTCTCTTCTGATCAGTCAATTCTCACTTCTTACCCTCACCCTACACTCCTTACCCGTCACTCATCAGCCCATCATCCATCACCCTCTTCCCTCATCCTTTCACACCCTCACACTCTGAACCTTATGTTTAACAGACCTCTAACTGTGTCCATAGAGGACAGAAGAAAATGTATATATGCTGGTTAGAATTATAAATGTGTGGCCACGTCTGTGGCAGAAAATAATAATTAAATAATGAAAACACCGCCATTTACCTTAAAATAAGCATTTTAAAGCCGGTCCTTCGTAATAATATTATACTTATCTTTGTTGCTATATAGATGTTATTACTTCAACGTAAAAAGACATTAAAAATTATATTTAATTTTTGTTTTGCAATTGGCACATATTCACATTAAAGCCTTAATAGCAAATTAAACTATCCGTCGACTCCTCTGTACCCCAATATTTCTTTATCGACTTTCCCCATCATTGCCAGTCTCTTTGTCGACATTCCTATCCTTACTAACGTTTTTGTCGACTACTCTATCCCACCCCATATCTCTTTGTCGACTTCCCAATTCCTTTCGGCTCATCCTCCCTCTTTGTTGACTTGTCCACCTTCTACACCTTCCTCATCAGCTCCTCCACTCGTCCATCGATTCATCCTTTTCGACGTCACGTCCACTCTCCTCGTGACCTATACCACCTCAGCCCCTTATGTCCCCATATACTCGAGCCTGCCTTCAGTTACACCATTAGTGTCCACCATCTTCATTACTGGCAAGATGTTCCTCACCCAGACCATTTTTCGGCCGAGATTGCTCTCCTGACTGCTTAGGACACATGTGTTTTTTCCAATTATTATCAATATGGTGTTACAATGTGTGCATTTGATGTTTTCAAGGAGTTTCCCATTCCAGACTTCCAGAGATGCTGGGTGTGTGTGGGCATGATGATCTGTCTGATTCTTGAAATATCTCTCTCGTTAGAGTCAGTTGTTATTAAATACTTGGCTTTTATACATCCATTTAAAACATCTTGACCTACTTAAATGGACCTACTTTAATCTTGACCTCTGGCAAATGCATTTTTTTACTTTATATATATACATATATATATATAAATATATACATATATATATATATATATATATATATATATATATATATATATATATATATGTCGTATATATATATATATGTCGTACCTAGTAGCCAGAACGCACTTCTCAGCCTACTATGCAAGGCCCGATTTGCCTAATAAGCTAAGTTTTCATGATTAAATGTTTTTTCGACCACCTAACCTACCTAACCTAACCTAACCTAACTTTTTCGGCTACCTAACCTAACCTAACCTAACCTATAAAGATAGGTTAGGTAGGGTTGGTTAGGTTCGGTCGTATATCTACGTTAATTTTACCCCCAGTAAAAAAAATTGACCTCATACATAATGAAATGGGTAGCTTTATCATTTCATAAGAAAAAAATTAGAGAAAATACATTAATTCAGGAAAAACTTGGCTTATTAGACAAATCGGGCCTTGCATATTAGGCTGAGAAGTGCGTTCTTGCTACTAGGTACGACATATATATATATATATATATATATATATATATATTATATATATATATATATATATATATATATATATATATATATATATGACCTATATCTTTCTTTATATTTCAGGGACTCCCAGCAATGGCCGACCTGAAGAGGACATGAGGACCTGGAGGTGAGACTCTGGACCGCAATATTGGCATGAAAGGGAAAGGAAGGAAAGGAGACTAGCCTGACAAAGGGTATGGGGGGAGAGGGGTAAGATAAAGGGAATTGTAAAGGGATTAAGATGGGGAAAGAAGAAGCAATAGCTGCTCGATAGGGAGCTAGAACGAAGGAAGGAAAAGGGAAAGTTGGAATAGATGGGGTAAATAGATAAGAGGTATTTATTGTTAGAAGTCTGTGCTTTTGCGTGATATGTTAGCTTAAAATATCAGAAGTACATAATTATAATGAAATAACTCTATTGATAATAGCAGGTAAGTGGCACAAGTATGAGAATGAGTTAGTCAATGATTGAGTCACGGAGTGAGTCAATATGTGTGTGTGAGTCAGTAAGTGAGTGAACCGAAATACAAACGTGAATAATGTTTATAATATCATGAAAAGGTTCTCCAGATCCATGAAGAAATCCACAAGGGCCGTGACGAGGATTCGAACCTGCGTCGAATCTCCAGATCCTCCATATGTTCCAGATCCGTATTTATTGTATTAACCTGACATAACCCGGTGGCTATAACACCATTAACAGTAGCATACTACCTCTGATGCTAGTATGATATTACTGGAAATATACCTTGTGCAATTTCGGAAGTGAAATGTAAGACACTATTCATACATTTTTTCTTCTCTCTAGTTTGTTATGAGCCACCGTTACTGTGCATCTTGTTAATGCTTAATTAGGCACAATTGAAATTGCCATTATCTGTATATTTATAGATTCACATCGTGTTTCTTTTGTTATACAAGAGATGCAAAAAAGGGTAGGAATGGCTTCTTTCTCTTTATCAATTTTTACCCAATCAGAGACAAGGACAGACCCAAACATCGCTACTTTTCTTTCTTGTCGTATGTGTGAGATGTTTTATTTGTTATCATCAAGTTATTGTGACTGTTTCTCTGAATACAATTGTGTGAATACAATTTGAGTTAACTGTTGCAGCAAGTCGAAGATTCACTGCAGATATTGGTACTATTTAAGGAATATCCAATGCATAGTAGGCACTCAAGGCTCTTATTTAGACGGTTTTCTGATGTGTGTGTACTCACTTAGTTGTACTCACCTAGTTGTACTCACCTAGTTGTACTTGCGGGGGTTGAGCTCTGGCTCTTTGGCCCCGCCTCTCAACTGTCAATCAACTAGTGTACAGATTCCTGAGCCTACTGGCTCTATCATATCTACATTTGAAACTGTGTTTGGAGTCAGCCTCCACCACATCGCTGCCTAATGGATTCCAGCTGTTAACTACTTTGACACTGAAAAAGTTCTTTCTAACGTCCCTGTGGCTCATTTGGGTACTCAGTTTCCACCTGTGTCCCCTTGTTCGCGTTCCTCCCATGTGTGTGTGTGTGTGTGTGTGTGTGTGTGTGTGTGTGTGTGTGTGTGTGTGTGTGTGTGTGTATGTGTGTGTGTGTGTGTGTGTGTGTGTGTGTGTGTGTGTGTGTGTGTGTGTGTGTGTGTGTGTGTGTGTGTGTGTATGTATGTGTGTGTGTGTGTGTGTGTGTGTGTGTGTGTGTGTGTGTGTGTGTGTGTGTGTGTGTGTGTGTGTGTGTGTGTGTGTGTGTGTGTGTGTGTGTGTGTGTGTGTGTGTGTGTGTGTGTGTGTGTGTGTGTGTGTGTGTGTGTGTGTGTGTGTGTGTGTGTGTGAGTGTGTGTGTGTGTGTGTGTGTGTGCCTACGAATGCAAGTAAATATTATATCACCTTTTCGCAAAACTGGGGTGTAAACCTAAATATTTTCGTCAATCTGAAATGTTTCTTTTTTTTAACTTTTCTGCTAATTTGCAAACTTTTATATCCACTACAATGTCTGTAGCTTCCTGCTGTTGACAGAGTGTGGTGCTAGCGTGTAGCAGTTGACGCCATTGTGTTTACACTGCTTCTTCATGGTGGTTCGTTCGTGAATCGGCGCTGGATCCCAGTGACGTCATATTAATACATTTGATATAAAACATCTAATTCTAATAACATTTTTTATAACAATTGTAATAAATTCAGTTCTGTGAAATAAAAATGCAGTGATAAAGCAAATATTTAAATTAATAAATAAAACTCCAATCTTAATATAACATAGGGTATTTATGTCTTCCATCGAAGGGTACAAATTCGAGTGCTCACCACGAACAAGCCCAGTGTATTCCTTGCAATAAACCTTCTTCATTTTCCCCCCTGACAGCTCTTGGCATCTTCTGAACCGTTCGTGCATGGTGCAGACGGAGGCGGATTTTCAATGTTTACATGTGATGTTGACTTGCCCTGTCAAGAGATCAGAAAACAATTTTCTAACTCAAATATTATATATATATATATATATATATATATATATATATATATATATATATATATATATATATATATGTATGTATATATATATATATATATATATATATATATATATATATATATATATATATATATATATATATATATATATATATATATAATCCAAACATACGATTAAAAAATGCTCCCAAGAGACTTAAATCTGGAAACGGGTTTCTATAGGTGTTTTCTGAAATAAAATGCAGTTCACCAGACCCATGATAAAACATTAATATATGAAGAAATAATTTGTAAAGTTCTTAAAGTTCGTAAAGGTTTTCGAGTCAAAATTACAGAGCAGTCCAAGTCTAATCTCTTGAATGAGTCAGGCAGGTCACCATATCCTTCTTTTGCAGCAAGATACGTGTTTATGTGATCGTTTCCTCGTGTCTCATCAACAACATCACCAGAAGCATACCACATTAATCTTTTCTACATTGTCACCATCTTCATCATCATTGTCATCCGTCGCAATCATTATTACCCGTTTTCGTTATATTTACTGTATTTAAAACCACTTTTGTTTAGGATTGTTGATTGTTTTGTATCGTATTGGGCTCTGAAAATCCACGTGTTAAGCTGTGTGTTAAGTTGTGTGTAAAGTCGTAAATAAAGCTTTGTGTACAGTTGTATATGAAGTTGTGTGTACATTTGTTTATAATGCTGTGTATGCGTACTCTACTGAACGGATGATCACATTCTCAACCTCATCACCACCACCACTACCATCGCTACTATATAACTACAACCATAACTAGTATCATCAAAATCACTACACTCACCACCATCACCACTATCACCACTATCTACACTAACATTAATTTGGTGTACGCAATAGAGACAAGCTAGAATAACTTTAAAACAATGAATTGGGTGTAAGAAGTACTTTGCGAAAACAAATCATCACATTCAGTCAGAAGTTGAACTGAAAGAACTTAAGATGAGGTCCCAAAAGGCTCGATCCGAAGACCATTGCTGATCCCTATTTATACTATTTTTCTACACAATAGATTTAGGTCATTAATGTCAATGATCGAAGATGATTAACGCCAATGAGTAATAACTGATGCGGCCTGCAAATAACTATATAATAACTGATGCGGCCTGCAAATAACTACAGAAAGACCTTGACCAACTCATGGAGTGGGAAGAAAGATGGGAAAGTAAGAAAGGTGACCTGGAGGAATGAACTCCATAAGGTGTAAGCAATTACATAAATCAAAAATAGAAAAAGGTTGTAAGAGTCGATGTTATTACGACACAAAAGGCTCATATATGCAGGATAACACCAGCTGACAAACAATAAGATGGCAGATGAAAAGATAGCAAATAATATTACAAGACAGCCTAAACTGCCTTCGTAAGGCCAATCCAAGAATATGCAGTAACAGCCTGGAACTAGAAAAGTGGAAAGAAATATAACATGATTTAAACCAGAGCTAAGATGGCTGAGCTATTGGCACAGGATACGAGATCTAAATATCATAACCCAACAAGTGAGAAGAACAAGAAGGAGAGTATATGAGAATTTTTGATCACTACATACAAGATACTGATGGAAATGACCCCATCTTAGAGTTGAGAGAAAGCTAGACATCAGGACACAGATGGGAGTCGGAAACTCAAATGCGGAAAGGAAAAAAAATGGAAATGTTAATTTCCTGTAGAGGCAGTCAACAAGTGCAATGTACTGAAAGAAGTAGTCTTGAAAGCCATCTCCATCCACACTTTTAAGGGCAAAATTAACAAAGAACTTTAATGTCACAAAAATTAAGATCAAACACCTTGGGTACAGCAAGGTTAGTAGGTGGGATATAATCAAAACCTCACCTTCTTTAATTCCTGTTAGTTAAGCACTTTTATGTAAACACCACAATTACCTCCACCACCACCATCACCACAGCCCGTTCCCTCACCACCACCATCACCACCACCGCCACCACCATCATTATCACCACCACCAGTAACGTTTAGTGATCGTTCTGTCATCGTAGTCTTACTATCACTGTTAATGTTGTGTATCAGAACTTTACTTTGCATTGAGTTCATGTGTGAAACAACTGATGATCTTTACATTGCAGTAAAGTTGCCAGAAACAGCACGATATGTTTGCTTTTCTGTAATTTGTTTTCTCTGTTTTTCACTCTTTCTTAAATTACAATTTTCTCCCCTTCCCTCCCCCCACCCAACCCCCTCTTCCTCCGTTCGTGATCCCCCTCCTCCGACGGCTGTGCGTGTCTGTCGTGCCTTGTGGTGTCAACTGCTACTGCGCCGCCTGCCTCTCCGCCACCCGTACACATCTCCCAAATCATTCTCCTTTCGTACTTTTTCTCTCTTTCTTTTAAATCTCTCTCTCGTGCGTGCTCTCACTTTTGTAATTTCTGTGTTTCTTTCTTACGCCTGTGTTTGTGTTCTTCACTATATATGGTGTTTTGCTTTTTCCTGTTTATTGGCGTTTTCTTGATCATCTTCTGTTGCTTATCTCGTTATTTTTCTCGACATTCTGTGGCTATTCTCTTGCTCATTCACTAATTTTCCCTCGCATCTACGCCACCAACTGTCTCCCCCTCGGCTCCTGTCATCTCCTGAAACCATCACACTATCCTCAAAACCATAACAACTTCTATCTTCATCACTCCTGCCACCACTCAACTACCGGACAACAACACCAATCCGGTCGACACCATGCTTCCTATCCTGAAATCCCCACCTTTTCTTACTATCAAAACGTCTGCTACCAACATCATTACCATGCCACCACCACCACCACCACCACCTCCCTCTTCCGCCACCACTTCTGCCACCGCCGTGTGGTGAAACAGCGGTAGCGGAGACGTGTCCTCCGCCGACCTGGGGCCAAGTCAGGTCGTTCCCAGGGGCTATAGGGAGATTTTAACAGGTCAGTAGTGCTGTTTGTCTTCCCTCTCTCTAGCTCTCTCTCTCTCTCTCTCTATCCCTTTCCTAAATCTTTCTAACTCACTATTTTTTCACCTTCTATACGAACTATCCCTGTTAATATTATAACAGCAGACCACTGAATCTCTTGTACATAACTCGAGGGCAGTAACAAAAAGGTAACTATTATTTAGACTTTTATCGTTTTTTATGAGATGAAAATTTGGCTTTCTGTCTCTGTAAATAACAATTGTTCCCGTGTATTGAGCAGTGAGAGAGGTCTCACTGTGCCTTTAAATAAAGCACTTGAATCTATACTTGCGAAGTCTTAGTAAATAGTTGCACTTATTTTTGTAAATAGACAAATATACGCATACTCTTGCAAATTTAAAGACGTAAATAAGTCTATTTCTTCAAATTATATAATTATAAATTTATTTGCCAGCATGCATTGTTCTTGACTTAAGTATGACAATAACTCCCCATGTGTGTATCGTTTTTAACAATTTATTAATTATTCCTTATTTATAGAACAGTTGAATACACCAATACAAACATTAGTAATAAAAAAATAAAATGGGTCTGTATTTCAACTAGAAAGTTCAGTCAAACAGTTAACCACCAAATTTCCATAACTGCCTTGTTTAATGGGCAGTTTGCAAATATTGATATGCGCTTCGCTAGGGAAACATTCGGTGCTTTTGCATGGCGGGTGTGTATGTGCTTTTTCCCAATTACAGCACGCGGATACAGTCTTCAGTATTTTTTTCCATATCGCTTCACTCGTGAAAATACTGTAGCTGTCAGTATTTGAAGTTCTGAAGTAGTGTGACTGTCAATATTTTAAGCTCAAGCTCTAAAATAGTCTCGCTTTTAACATGGTAAACTTTGAAACTCTAAAGTTCTCTGGGTGTTAGCATTTAAAATTCTAAGGAACACTGTTAGAATCTTGATGGTTAACGTACTGTGCCTATTAGTTCTTAGAACATTGAAACCTGGGATGGAAATAAGAAGAAATGTTTTCGCTTTATTAAGTAATGCCTTTATTGAAGTTATTTCACTATGTTCTAGAGGCTGTAGACAGTCGGTTCTTTGGATATTTGTACCATTAACTACTGATAACTGAAGATACAGGTAGCAATGGAAACTGGCAGACTTTATTACTGATATCAGTGGAAACTGGTCGGTACTGAATACAAATTATTCATTTTAGCTGCTGGTATCTTTAGGTACGGATTTAGGTTAGTGGTAATTGTGATAACGAAATTATAAGGGTTCTAGATGTTGTAACTAGCAGTTTAGGGTACCAACAGCAATTGGTATTTGTAGTTATGAGTACCCAATTTTTGGAATTGGGTACTGGGAGATTTGTGTACTATTTATTATGAATATGGTACGTTGTGGGAAATAGTAACAGTTGTCACTGGTAGCTGTGGGTACTAGCAGCTTCATGTACTGAAAATTATATGACATTGAGAGCAGCTGTGCGTACAGAGATCAGTTGGGGATACTGATAGCAGCTATGGGTCCTGACAACAGTTCTGGGTACTAAAACAGCATTGGGTATGGCATCAACTGTGGGTAATGACAGGAATTTTGAGTGCTGACGCCAGCTTGGGGCATTACTTGCTGTTTTAGGTACTTACAACTGATATATATATATATATATATATATATATATATATATATATATATATATATATATATATATATATATATATATATAATATATATATATATATATATATATATATATATATATATATATATATATATATATATATATATATACAACTTATTATATATTGACAACATGTTTTGAGAACTTACAGCAACTTTAGGCACTTAAAGAGCTTTGGGTACTGACAACTTTCAGCAATAACAACTTACTGATATTGAAAGCTTTCAGTAGTATCATTTTGCGGGCATCGGAAGCTATTATATTTGACAGCTTCAGGGTGCAAACAGCTTTGGAAATTGACAGCTTGGAAGACTATTATTATAGGCATATAAAAGGTGCTTCTAGGTGGTTACAGTGTGAGTAATTACGCTGAAGGATGACAGCTCTGGATCTTATATCAACAGCTGTTCAATAGTTTAAACCTAAGTACTTACCGAGATATTAAATTTTTACTGGAAATTATTTCAATAGTTTACAGTAATTAAAGACTGTGGTTTTACGATACTGTTTCCCTCTTTATCTAAAACAGTACAAAAAAATCCATCATATATATATATATATATATATATATATATATATATATATATATATATATATATATATATATATATATATATATATATATATATATATATATATATATATATATATATATATATATATATATATATATATATATATATATATATATATATATATATATATATATATATATATATATATATATATATATATATATATATATATGTATTCTTGCATTGCTGTACTTCCTTAAGCAACACTAATCTTTCCCTGAATAAATTGCTCTGCAGTTGTTTTTTATGACAATTACCAGCTATATTCTATGATTTTCTCTACTCTTAAGTCTTGCATTATTCATTATTCTAAGATATCTGACAGTATCTTAAAACAATTTTCACCTAGATATCGGACTTAAGGTGTGTTCATTCGAGTTTCGAGACAATTAAATTAATACTGTAGGCAGTAACACTGTATAATGCAGGAGTACTGTTTTCTCACATATTATGTTTTGAGAGATCCCTTCCCTCCTATATAAATACTGTAAGCTACTTCACTTAGATGAGAACTTTAATATACACTGCTCTTAATGGCTTATGACAGCTAATGTAATGTAGATCACTGTTTTGCTACGCACTAGAAAGTTAATTCCTGTAAGTATTTACAAATATTTTCTGTTATTATTAGCTATTCTTAAAGCACTTTCCTTTATATTAGAACACGTAATTTAATTACATATTAATAGCTTTCCGTTCCTATGCACCTTCATTGCAATTTTATTTTTAATTATTACGACTTTGCACTGCACTGTAATTTATACTTAGATTTATCATTCACATATTTATCTATATGCATTTAGCTATAACCACCTTATACTTGCAATTAGATTGTTAAATTGTTACATTGTCCTGTCTTCAAAAACAGCTCCCAAATGAACTGAAAGGTAAAGTTGAATTTCAGCAGACTACAGAGTTGTTGCTTCGTTTCTCTGTGTCCTTCTCCAAGCATCCAATTCATAATAGGATGACTGTTTTACTTAGACTCCTTAAACCCCTCCCCAAGTTCTATCGTGATGCAATGTTGTCCTGTCAGATATTTTTGTTGGTATTTTTTGTAGTGTCGGCTCATTGATTCTTTTTTTTGAGAAATGGGACACAATCGTGATATTTCTGAGATGTGTGTGTGTGTATATATAAATATATATATATATATATATATATATATATATATATATATATATATATATATATATATATATATATATATATATATATATATATATATAATGCTATATATATATATATATATATATATATATATATATATATATATATATAATGCTTTAAGCAGATCTAGATAGATTGTTTTAGAGTCTTAGAACTAGAGAGATAGACAACGATGGAATATATTTATTTAATACTTGTAGATAATTATTTTTCTTATACATATCATCAATGTAAAAACCAAATTGGCATGACGTAATTTTAACATAATATTTAAGGCATTTTTATGAGCTTTGATGTGTTTGTGACCAAAATCTTAACATTATGAATTCTTTCTTCTATTTTAAGCCATAGTTTAAATTCTTTTGCCTAATCCTGAACTCCTAACGTTGTCTTATACCAGATAACAATCATACAGATTCGTTTGATAATTCTTAATTTATCAAAATTATTTCAGATTACTTAGGCTAGTGCCAGAAACTTAAAAACAATTACCAGGATTTCCCTCAACTTTTTATCATACCTCAATTATTTCTTCATGTTAATCTTCAATATAAATACTTCTGAAATTTGCTTAAAAATATTGTTTTTTTTTATTTCTAAACCTAACAATCATTCTTCAGGAAAGTGCATAACATATCTTGGATATATTGTATCCCAAGATCTAAAATATTACCGTTATTAATTCCTTAAAAATAATTTCACATTCAGATATCTCATTCTTACATCCCCTTGCCATATCCTGGCACCTCTGACTGTCAGCCTCAGACCACTTACGTCCTAATTATTTTTGACCTAGAATATCGCCTGAAATGATTTCATATCACACATCGTCTTTAAATTATTATCTTTAGCTTCCCTAGACTTATCTAGTCACTATAACAAAACCCCTCTAGTTTCTTTTTAATATACCAGCGCAATAAAAAAATAATTCCTTCACATTCTTTGAATCCCAACAACGCATTAAACAGCTTAAGGTTCCTTAATTTCTTCCCTGCACCTGAAATCGTCTCGGCAATTCCTTTATGCTGTCTATCAAGTTGTTGTCTTCAACTCTGTGTAAATATGGCCATCTTTAGCCTGAATTGATTACACAGTTCTCCAAACAATCTCTCTCTTTCTCTTAGCTTCCCTCCAAAGCCAGCTAAATTGTTTATGCTTCTTTTTTCCCACTCTGGTTAGTTCCTGAATTACTTTCAGGAGAGAGTTCCTGAGAGAGAACCTTCTCTCCTCTTTTTCTTGGTATTTATTTCCACTATTTTAGCGCACTTTAGGTGACAATTAGACTTTTTCCACGGTTCTATATATCTCTTTTAACTTATTTAACTATCTCCTTTACACATCGGAATTCAAGTACATTAACATCATCGTTTGTTAACTTCCGTCTTTATCATAAACACTAGCAGAGTGTTTATGATAAAGCCTCCCATCGGCACCTGTCTCTCCCACTCACCGCTTCCCTTCTCTCACCATTGTCTCTAATACACCGATTCCCTTCTCTCTCCCACGACCACCTCTCCGACACCGGTTAACTTCACTTCCTTCACAGATGACTTCACGCTCGGGGAGATCCACCTGGAACTTACGCTGACCAAGGGCCAATTGGAGGTCGAAGTCAGCTGCGCCAGGGGACTCCCCACAGCCGCATCGGGTCAGGAGCCAGGTGGGTTCATAGATCTACAAAACATATATTGATCAGGTTCCTAGCAGGATAGTTCTTGGAGCCTTGGAAGGACATACTTAGTTACCCTTTATCAAGATTTGTTGACCCCTTCTGTTGATCAGCGACTGACAATATATTTGCTTTAACTTTAGGAGAATGGGAAAGGCATGATCAGTGAGTCATTAACAGGATTACATAACCGTTTTATGGAGATGGTTCTGACAATATGTTTCATGGAACCCCGAATGTCTGGAAGAAAATGTTCAGTGATCCTCAATATATCTATTTAATGAATCAGTTAAACTCTGGTGATTTGATGTTAAATTTGCGTAACCTTGAAAGGTATCGCACATTTAATAGACTACAAAATATAGAGCGGGGTTCTATGATAGCTCACATTACATTTGCCAAGTTCACATTTATGCTCATATGAAGGTAAAATTACAGCTCATTTCCTAGTCAATTGCTGCAATTGTCTATCACATGCCTGTGCTTATATATAAAAATTACACGCCAATACAGCAGCTAGCTATAATTTTTAATAGTATAAACTGGCGGTAAAAAATACAACAAATACTTTCCTTAAAGTAGTGTTCATTTCAAATTCGTGTACCCAATTATGAATCACAGAAAACGCAGGCAAACACATAGAAAATGGTCACGTTGTACAATATAGCTAACAGCCACTAAGAAACTCTGAATAAAAACGGAATCTGAATAAATTTAACTATACATATATATATATATATATATATATATATATATATATATATATATATATATATATATATATATATATATATATATATATATATATATATATATATATATATATATATATATATATATATATATGGGGGGAGAGGGGGAAAAGAGAGTGAATGGGGGAAAGCCCATTGACTCATCCTCTCCTCTTTATTTTTCCCCCAATCATTTTTATTGATGTAACTCAATACAAATTTTATTCATCCGTGTGTTATCGTATATATATGAGATAATCTAACACATAGTCCCCCTTTCCGGTTACTAAAAGAATATTCTTAAAATTACCACACTCCTTATCTCCTCATCACATTCACTGTCTCTTCAGAACACTCACGGTCTTCTCGACACTCATGATCTCCTCACTTCACCCACGATCTCATCATTACTCTCTCGGTCTCTTCCTGCAGACACCTACGTGAAGACATACTTGAAAGAAGGTGATCGTCGCTTGCAGAAACGCAAGACGAAAGTGACGCGTCACTCACGCGAGCCGAGGTACCACCAGAAGCTGCGCTACGCCGCCCACGACGCCCTCGGTCGCACCCTCTTGGTCATGGTGTGGGAACGACAGAGGGGCTTCGAGCACAACATCGGCATTGGAGTAGCGGAGATCAGTCTGAGCAAGCTGGAGCGGGGGGAACAGTCCTTGAATGGTTGGTATCGGCTTCTACCCGTCAGTAGCGTCGTGAGGGTCGACTCAGATTCAGGGGACAGTGTACGCTAGTGGTCAGGAACGCCACACTCCTCCAACTATAGACTCATCCCAATGCTTGCCTCAGATTTGGCCACTCATGTCTACGTCATGATCCCGCCAAATTAGACGTTGGATACGCCTGCTTACGTGATGACCACTTCCAATTAGATCATGGCCATGCTCATGGCCTACCTAAGATCTGTATCTGTCAACTTAGGTCATTGCTAAGTTTTGGCCACACCTAACTTGGCTACGTCAAACCCTTGGGTAGGTTGAGGGGCAACTTGGGGCAGCGTGATGGGAAGGATGGGAGGGAGGGCGGACATCTCTGGAAACTAGGCATATATAATAATTTGAAATGAAAAATGTGCTGAAGGGGACAATCATATATATATACAAAACTTTCTACTCAAATATGATCTAACAAGAAAATGTAATACCATTAAAAGACAAACTTAATCAAAGACAGAGGGGCCTTCATTTGAGCTAATTTTCTACTTATGTAACGCCTTTACACACGCAGAAGGCTTCCTCTGGCAAATAGAAAACGAACAAATCACACACGACTCTGCGCAAGCAACACAAGAAGAGAAAACCAAATATACCATTATAGAAATATTATAACCTTCAAGAGGTTCAACCCTCACAGGCCTTGAGTAACGCTTGAATTGTCACACACCTTTCCCACACACACAAATGTCACATACCTGTCACACACATACACACACACAGGTGTCACAAACCTGCCAAGTGATATATGGAATTTTACCAAAAGCGTGCTTGCTACATCCAGGTTAAATATTGTATGGTATAATAAAAATACATTTAACTATCACTACTGCATCTCTAGCGAGAACGTTTTTATACCTCGAAGTGATAAAATGTTTTCAGTTAAAACAGACCAAACATGCTGAGGTTATTAAGAAAAGTGTTAAAGTGAAAATTAATAGATGTTTTTACAGATAAAATGCGAATCAGGCATTACTCAATGAGGTTGTTATTGCAGTCTAATGGTGACAGTGTGGTTGGGCTTCGTGCAAGCTCTCTGGTTTAAGACATATGGCGAGTTGTCAAGGTTCTTGTGAGTCGACAGGGCTTCGATGAGTCGTTAGGGCTTTAATGAGTACTCATGGGATTGGCTGGGTCGTTAAGGCTTTAGTGACTCGTCATGGCTTTGACAAATCGTCAAGGCTTTGGTAACTCTTCAGGGTATTTGGTGAGTCGACAGGGCTTTGGTGTGCTGTCAAGGCTTGATGAGTCGTCAAGGCTTTAGTGAGTCGTTAGGGCCTCGATGAGTCGTCAAGGTTTCGGTGAGTTGTCAAGGTTCGCTATTGTCTCAAATCACTGGCAAATCAGCAAAGGTTTTATCATCAGCAAACCTTACACAAGCGCTGTGATTCAGGTCAACAAAGAGTCGAAATAGTCTGGCGAATCAGCGAGGCATCTTCCCCCTCACCATACACACCAAACATGAAACACAGACTTCTTTAATGGTGACTCGCAAACAAACACAGTCGAGGTGGCGCGCCAATCAGGACCTGCAAGCAAACACAGATGGAGGGGGAGGGGCGCTCCAATCAGGACCTGCAAACAAACACACTTACAGTGGCGCGCCAGTCAGTCCTTGCTTGTCTGCTGCCTCCTGGAGAGACCTGAAGTGGAATCTTCAGAATATAAATTACTGATCGTATCAAGGGATAAACTGAATCCCGCAACCAATGCGAGCTTGAGACTCGAGCCAAGAGATGTTATTACCGTCTTTCTCCTTTCAGTCATTCAACACGTATGGTTGTGTGTAGTGATAACTAGGACGATGTCTTGTCTTTAATCTGTGTGTTTAGAAGAGAGAGAAAAATAATTTGTTTTCTCTCATAGTGACCTACTGACATTGCCTTCTTTTTTACGATGTCGATTTAATGCATTTTCTGAATGCTGCTTAGCTATGACATATGGATATTTTTGTTATGGACTAGGCCCCCAGCGAGGGCACATGTGCCCACTACACATACAATGCTACTTACTATTTTTTTTAGTGGGAACTGAGTGTAGATTTATTTTCACTATTTCTCGTTAGAAGTAGTATTTTGTTTAAATCATCCATTGTGGATTTTCCAAAAGGTATCTTAAACCTGTATTGTAAAATAACTACTGATTTTCTCCTAACAAACCGGACCTAAATATCATTCTTTCTGCCTTGCATCTTTAAGAAAAAAAATTGCGAGTGTTTCTCTTGAACTTTGAAGCAAACATGTGTTTCGGAATATTTCGGTAGATATAGCTTAAATGTTTGTTAATAAATACCATTTGTGTGTTTTCTGGTTGCCAAACACTTGTGTACGACAATCACGATTCTTTGTGTATAATGAGATGTAAGGACACAACCTTTTAGCATTATTAGGTGGACTCGTAATATTATTACTATGACTTTCTTTTTCTTAAGAATGGTGCCACTAAGAATAATGTTCCCTTGAGAATTATGCCACTGAGGATGATATTCTTAAAGAATAAAACAATAAAAAACTATTTAACTTGGAAATAATGTCACAGAAGGAATTGTTCCTAGGAATTAGGTACCCTGGGAATGTTTCTGCTGGCAGCAATTTACTTTACTGACATCAAGGTGTATAGCTGCAGAATTATCAATTAAATTTTCTTTATTTATAACATTCCTTAATGATATGATTGTCAGCTTAGCACTGTGCATCAATAAGGTTAACTAAAAATATTATATCACTTGGATACGACTCCATAAAATAAAGTAAGAGATATGATAGTTTTAGATAGAAATACAGAAAATGATGACACATAATGTAATTAATAAAGAAAGGCATAAGAGAATAATACCACTGGCAAATGTATCAAAGATAACAGAATCATTTCATTGGAGATTTACACCTAAGAATGATGTCTCTGGGGATGATAAGACAGTATGCTATCGTTGATGACAGGTCATAAGAATGATTCCACGTTGCAGAAGATGGTGAGAGACAGTTGACGTAATTAGATTAGGATTATATATAATTGAATATTTTGTGGTTTTCATTAAAAAGTAAAAAATAAACAATATCATGAGTTCAAATTACATTGGTACAAGAAACATGTAAAGCTTAGTTAAGATTTAGTTAATTACATTTTACAAGTAAATGAGGAGAGATTATTAAGTGCTTGAGGTTCATGTATTTGCTTAAAATGATAAATATTAATCAATTAATCAGACATATGGATATGAGAGTTTTGTTAAAATGTTTTGTTTTGTTAAAATAAATTCCTTAAATAAATAACAACTTCTAAACTATCATATTCAAGAGCTAGATATGTTCCTCGATATTAAACACTAATAAATTATAAGAAGCTTTATCTCTCGAAGTTACTTCTCTAAATATATTAACGCAATACAAAATGCCTATTATAGAACAAATTCTAAATACAGTCAAAATTTATTTGATGAATAAAATCGCTTGAGGTATATGTATAGTCAAAATTATACAAAATAATACATTCTGGTTTATATCATAATACTAAAGTATATTGAATTTGCATAAATTCCTTAGGCTCATCCAAACAACGTACGTTTTATTACGCTAATTTATAAAATGCTATACACACATGAATCACTTCTCTAATGGCTTCACCCAAGTACTACAATTGAAATCATTACCAGCAGAACCAAAACACATTAACTCATCCTAGCCTAATCCAAACTGTCATGAAAATTATAATACAAAACAATAATCATTTGTATTCTAGAAAAAAACTGTATTTTGAATTACATCATTCGAAGGACAACATCTTTAATCAGCATGGTTATGGAATGCTTTACAGTTGTTACAGTTTTAATTCATAAAACTGTATTGTATTATTTGTATAGATTTGTATTATTTCCATTACAATGTTTGTCAAAGGATAACATTCATCATAAAATTAGGATTTACAAAGGATATTATTTATCAATAAACAATGTCCAAAAGTTAATGTTTACCAGAGGATAACATTAGTCAATTAATAATGTAAATGGAAGGATAGTATTTGTATCCTTTCATTACCATTAATTAAAGGATACAAATTAACATTAATGAGAGGATACATTAACATTAAAACATTTTCATTCCTTGGATAAACATAATGGAATATGTTAATCCAAGGAAGATGTCTTTGTCATAATAATTTGCTTAAATTATAATTTTTTTGAAGTGTTTGCAAAGTGAGCATTTTTGTCGAAATGTAATGAGTATGAGAGAATAACATCAGTCAATGAATTCAATTTATTAATTATATTGTTTGACAAAGAATAATGTGTGTCAAGGGATGACATTTGTTAAAGAATAATGTTTGTGAAAGAATGATGTTTTGTCAAAGAATAAAGCTAAAGAGAATTTTAGAGGTTCCAATTCGAATATATTTATTTTGAAGGGTAGTTATAACCATGATACTTTTGATTTATATCGCATGGTGAGTAGTGTTAGAACCTTAATTGTGTGATAAGGAGACAGGATCAAACTCAACATGATGCCTTTTGGAGATGACTATCTGGTCGCCTCGTTGCCATGGCGAGTATGTTTCTCAGCCTCCGAGCATCCTCCCTTTTTTCCTTACAAGCTCCTCCAGAATATTCAAAACGCGTTCATGAATGTATATTTTTTTATGTACTACGGCTTATGGCCTAAGACAGAGTTTTGTTCCTCTGTGAGAGATCTGTTTCTTGTTCTTGTTCTTGTTCTTCTTCCTCTTCTTCTTCTTCTTCTCCTTCTCATTCTCTCAATTTGTATTTTACTCATCTCTAATATATTCCTTTCCTGTTATTAGTTATTCCTTAGTGCTGATTTGTCGTTATATCTTTCCCGTTATTCACCTTTGATAGCCGTTCATTTCCTGTCATTTTCCTATAATCTTCAGCTAACAGTGTCGAAGTCCAGAAGCCATTCTGGACATTCTTACACGTGAAGCTATTCTGTTTCTCATCGGTCATTGCCTTGCATCTCCTGCCTCCGCGTAATTTCAATTAGAACTACACTTTTCCTCTCACTTTCAAGATTTCAACAGTGTTCCTCGTGTACTGTGGCTCACCGCTATCATTTCTCTCCTGTCAATAACGTCACTCAGTCTTCAGGGCCACTACTAAGAGCAGCTCAATCTCATCGTCACGGTCACTCCTTAAGCTCCACACTTCTCCTCTCCTTTGCGTGTTCCCGGAACATCATTGCTTCTCTTCTGCACGTGCTTCACATCATTATTCCTATTAAATAATGGTTATGTCTTCCCCCATGCAAAATGACATTGGATACTAACTAACACTAATGGATAAAATACTTTTTATCCTATTATTTATTTTCATCACGTATTCCAAAACATTATTTCTCCTCTACGTCATATGTTTCACACTATCATTACTCCCTCTCCCTAGTGTTACTCGGTTTCATTCCTGCCTCTTCCTAGTGTTACTCAGTTTCATTATTCACCCTCTTGTTTCAAAACATCATCACTCTGTTTAGTGTTTGCCAGGTCCTCACTCGCTCTAGTGACACACAGCATCATCACTCGCTCTAGTGTCACACAGCTTCACCACTCGCTCTAGTGTCACACAACATCACTTCTCGTCTCTCTCAAGTTTATTATTGTACCTTTTTTTATCTAAAGTTCTCTTAGTCGTGACAACTTTTATTCATTGAACACACCTTATTTTATGTGACACTTGTATATGGATTTCTTAGGTCCCATTGATGGATTTTTTAAGCTTTTTCGTATAGATTTCATGACGTCCTTCTTCTGTAGCCATGCGGGTTGCCTCTCCATATAAACTACAAAACTAGAGTACGTTTTATGCTTCCTTGATGTATCGGATTTTAAGAATGGTTTATGATCTATTTCTATAATGCTCCTTTCAATTAAGAAACAGGTGGATTAGGTGAATTCTAACTGTCTTGTTTAGAATACATGAGAATCGTTCAACTGTCTAAATGCAAGACTCGAATGACCTTAGAGACAGTTAGTACACCGTCTCCTGTATATTCCATTTGCCTTTCTTGGGCTGTATCCCAACGCACAAAATGCATGCCTCTTATTCTTAATGCTTAATTTGTTCTAAGATATGCCGAGTAAGTGTGTGTTTGTGTGTATGTCGGTGTGTATGAGTGTACTCGCCTAGTTGTACTTGTGGGGGGTTGAGCTCTGGCTCTTTATGTGTGTGTGTGTGTGTGTGTGTGTGTGTGTGTGTGTGTGTGTGTGTGTGTGTGTGTGTGTGTGTGTGTGTGTGTGTGTGTGTGTGTGTGTGTGTGTGTGTGTGTGTGTGTGTGTGTGTGTGTAAAACCAAGCTTATATGAATATCTTTGTCGATGATCTAGAAAGGATATTCATTCCAAATCTTGGCATACATGTTGTAAGTTTATAGTAAAAATATTTAAAAAAATACACAAAAATACATATAAATGCATAAATACACTCACTTACATTCATACATATATTCCTACATACCCTGAGCTCAAGCCCCTGTTTTGCGAATTTATTAAATGGTTCGAGTCGAGCACCGAAGTGCCGGAGTGGTAGAAGGTGAATTATATTTTGTCAGCCTTGTTATTTTGAAATTTTCTTCATCGCTGATTCCAGAAATAACGCGTGTTTGTACTTGTCGATGGGCTGAGCAACACGATTTGTTGTTCATTTTAAGCATATTGTCACGGTTGTCAATGATGAGTATCAAAGTACGGTAATGGGTAAAAGGGCTGCGTGTCGCCGTATAATCGACGTGTTACTGGGCTGTGAATCGCTGCAGCATCAATTAGTTACTTGGTTAGATATCGGTGAAGAACCAACGGGGTTACTTGGCTGAGTATATTCGTATGATGAACGGGAAGCATGACGAGGTATCGCTGTAATTGCATCAGGTAACATAGCAAGGCTTCGTGTTTAAAGAAAAGGTTAAAACGCTCAGAAACAGTCAACTCATAGGTAAAATATCAACCTAATATTAGTGTGGTGTTTCACGTGGACAGGCCATGTCTAGATGACATTATTTAACATAAAGAAATATAGTCGACACCAAGTGATATATAGGCTCCTAGGTGACACCCAATGACATATTGACTATGTAATACCAAGTGATACACAAGATCCTTTGTAACAGTACCATATAGGCTCATATGTGTCACCTGGAAACAGGTAGAGATATAAATATATATGTTGATAGGTGACACCGATACTCAATTACGTTCTTTGGTGAAACCCAATTCTATTACACTTGATGCTTCCTCGTTTCATTTGAATTACACTCAGCATAATATAGTGCCAATATAACTGTAACGCTAAGTAATAGCTCTGGTATTGTGAAATAACATGGATATTAGGTTACAAGACAATAACATCCGGTAAAAAGTTATTCTTCTGGCAATAAACATCAAAATCGTATTTTTTCAAAACAGCTGCAAAATGGTGCCCATATGTCAAATTGTTGCAAAATGGTACCAAATGTGCTCTAGAGAGCCAAATAACATCTAACAATGTGATGAAAATAGATTACGTCAGGTGACATTAAATGGTATTACCAGTCTATGCTTAATTAAGTGACATTATGGTTGGTAACAGCAGCTGGTGATGTGACGACTAGGTAACGCTGTGATATCATGACTGTTAGGTTACTCCAAGTAGCACCAACGTTGTCGTGTGACTCCAAGTTTGTTTTACTGTATATTCTCTTGGTTCACTAACACAAATACAGTAAATAGAAGGGAAACTGATGGACACACTAAAAAGGTAACTGATTGTTAGTGAAAGTTAATTAATAGGTTGTAACGAGATTTCTTGAGGCATCGAGCCTGCTAGGTGACTCCTTAAAGCACTTAGTCTGCTAGGTGTTGCAATAGACATCTAGTTTACTAAGTGACTCTATGAGGCATCTAGCCTGCTAGATGGCTCTAGGAGGTAAACAGCATTCAAGATGGTTCTAAAAGTTATCTAGTTTGCTAGCTGGCTCCTGGAGGCATCCAGTCTCCTAGGAGACTCCAGAATGCATCTAGTTTGCTAGGTGGCACCATGCGTCATTAGATCTACTTCGTGGCCCCTAGGATACTTTCAGTCTGTTAGGCAGCTCCAGGGGCATCTAGTCTGCCAGGAGGCTCTACGAAACAAATAGCCTCTCCATGGAGACTTCAGGTGGTATAGCATACTAGGTCACACTTCTGTGATCCTGATGATTCTAAAATGATACTGTCTACATGCTTCTATGCACTCCATTTCAAGAAGCCTCAAACACTTTCTGATTATACATGAACTCTTATTTTCAAAGTGTGAAAATGACGTTGATATACATGGTTATTCTTCATCTTATCTCTGTTGCTCAAATCTTCTTATTATATGCCTGAGTGAGAGAAGAAGAGAGGTTGTTCGAATAAATGAATGTATCAACTAAATGGTTTTAATTAAATCATAAATATTATTGTGGAAATGTTCATTTTCAATGCCAAAGTAAACAGATTTATTGTACATAACGGTACAGAATGCATTTAAAAATAGTTCTCTTCCCTTATTTGATCACTTTATTATGTAAATAATTCCTCACGCTCTATACTTCACCTGCTCGTCCTCCTTTTTTATTTTTCATTTCTTTATTTCTCTCGCCTTTAATCTTCCACCTTTTGTCACATTTTAATATTCTTCCCATTTCCTCAGCCTTCCTCCATTATGTCTCACTACTGTTCTCCATCTCTTCCCCCCCCTCTTTCTCATTCTTCTCTCTTCATCCTTCTTCATCTTCTTCACTACTCTATTTCTCGAGTTTTGTTTTCAGCTCCCTCATTATCTTCGACTCCTTCGCCATCACACCATCCCTCCCACATTTTCCCTTCGTGAATCTTTTTTTTATTCAAATTTCTATGGCATTTTAGTGTAGATCTGATCAGGAAACACGAACGAGTGCAGTTTTATGTAAAAACAGTCACAATTATTCTTAGAAAAGCCATCTCCATAAGTGTTTTCATAGATTCGGGCAATACAGAGTAACTTTTATATCAACAATTGTATAAGCAAACAAGTTTTCTTGCTAAAACACATCGTACATAGGTAAAAATAACCTGAATTCGCTCATGATAAAGATTAGATAGATAATTCATTAGGATTTCGCGATGCTGTGTTTACGTATCTGACAGAATACTGAAATGGAATGTTATGCAAATCTCCATCGGCGCTCTTACCAATCACAGTTAGAGAAAAGGGTTACTCTGTGAAACTATTGATTGTCTCTCCTCTGGACGAGGTATTCGTTGGGTGCTGTGGCCCGTCTTTTGTCTTCCCTGTAATTAGGTTTAAAAAGGATATATCGATTCCCACACCCACACTTTCACACTTTCACACACACACACACACACACACACACACACACACACACACACACACACACACACACACACACACACACACACACACACACACACACACACACACACACACACATATATATATATATATATATATATATATATATATATATATATATAATATAATACAAAAGTATTAATATTAAGGGTGGTAGATGGTTTTTGAATGTACTGTAAGCTTGAAATCCTCTGGCATTCTAACAAAAATCTACTTACCATCTTTACAGGACGTTCCATCTAGTTTTCTTTTGCTTTCCTAAGATATTTTAGTGAGTAATCTTCCAGTGGGTGTTCATAGGAGGAGCCTTTTGAACCAGCCACCTTCATGTCCTGTAGTAACTTACTAAAATTTATCGTCATTTACCGACTGTTGCCTTCAAGTTGTCTTTCTAACCAATCTGTGTAAAAAAAAAAATGTTTCCTGTTAACCTACCAACATTGGTGAGTTATTATGTGCACCTTCTTTATATTTATATAAATGAGTATACTATATGTGTGCGTGTACTTTAACATTATCTGTTATGATTCCTCAGCTTTCGTGCTCACCTAGAGACGTGAACGGGAAAAAATGGAGATAAAGTGAAAGTTCGTGAGCTCGCAAGTGTTTTTATATAACAGGGGTCAGATACAAACAAAGATGAGTGTATTGACAGTGTGAAACACGTTCGAATAACAGCAGCTCACGCCCTCAGGTATGCTCAGTGAGTGTCAGCATTAGGGCGTGCCTGTCAGCCGGTAGGTGTATGTCAGCCGGCAAGCGTTTTTGATAACTGGTGAGCATATCTGTCACTTGGAGAGCGTATCTAACAGCCAATGGGAGTGTCTCTCAGCCTGCAGGCTTGTATTTCAACCTTTAACGGGTTTATGTCAGCCAGGGTGTGTATCTGTCTGCCGGTTGGCGTGCTTATCATCTGGTGGGCGTATTTGACAGATGGCGATCGAGTCTATCAGTTGGAGGTCACATCTGACAGTCGGTGTTTTTTTTTTCTCTACCGGTGTGGGGGTTTCTGTCAACCAGGGGATGTGTCTGTCAGCTGGTGGGCTTGTCCTCCTCTGCTCTCAGCAGCAGTCTTCTTTAAAGTATATTTTATTTTCGTTATAATACTTGTTGTTATTTGGTCGCCGCCTTAAGTTCCTCTCGGACAACAATTCCGACTTGGCATTCGAGATGAGCATCGCTACGGGACTGTAGACCGACGTTTTAATGTTTAGGATTCTTCTAACTTTCCCCTCCCCGTTACTTCTTCTAGCTCTCACTTTCCCGTACTTCTTCTAATAGTTTTTTTTTTCCGTCCCTGTGCGAAGTCCGACGAGACACTGAACATATTCAACTTTATAAATGGACCTTCTGGGCAGTGATTGCTTCTCACATAATTATACACTGTTTCCCTTTAAAACGTTTTTAGCATCGAGTAACAACATGGTGTGTTTACAAATGCTTCTGTTCGAAGCTGTAAAAGGTTCATGTGAACAACATACTGATTTCCCTGAACGATGTGTGCCATACAAAACAGGCACGATCGAGGTATCTCTCGCATCTCTTCAGCTTTGCATGGTTCTGCCTCACTCGAATGGCCCCTCGGAAATATATTCTCCTTATGGCGACTTAAGAAACAGCCTATGTGCAGCTTTAGGATAGTAACTGTGTATACCTTAACAGTGGGTCACTGAAGCGGCCCAGGGAGGCAGTGAAATGTGGTCATATATTCAAATATGCAAATAAATGCGTCAACTAAAAATATCCATATAATAGATTAATAATATATATTAATGATTACAGTTTCGGTTATTTAATATATATAGCGATTCAGAGTTTAATGTCTT